ACTTTTTTTTTTTTTTTCTTTTTGTTTTACCGTATGACTATTTATCATTCCCTGATATTTTATTTAAATATTATTAACAAATAACATTATCGGTAAAAATATATAAAATATCAAAATAAATACTCGATTTACATAAAAGACTAGATTTTAACTTTTGTCAATTCATCTAAATTTATTTTTAATTTCTAATAAAATTATTGTTTAAATTTTCATTATAATAATAATAATAATAATAATAATAATAATAATAATAATAAATTTTTTCTTTTTTTTCTACTTCATTAAATTTAACAAAATTTTAACAAAACTTTTTTTTTTTTTTTTTTTTTATTTTAAAGCATTTATTGCGATGCCGTTTACAATATTTTAACGCAATTTTAACAATAACAACAACAATTATAATAATAATAATAATAATAATAATAATAACAAGCCGGTAAACGATAAAAATTTTTTTATAATTTATAAGCGGAACGAGTGTGGTCGATCTTCATCTGACAAAAAAAAAAATTTTTTTTTTTTTTTTCCCTTTTTCATCGATTTTCGTTTCGTGTAAAATGATTTTTTGTTACCTTTTTAAAAATTAATTAATTAATTAAATAAATAAATAAATAAATAAATAAAATTTGTTAATTTAAATAATAATAATTTTATGAGAAAAAATTATTATTATTGTTAACGATGATGACCATGACGACGACGACGACGACGACGACGACGCCATGATTTACAAATTAAAATATAATTTTTTAATTTAATTGTTAATTTTGTAAATAATTTTTAAAAATTTATTTCATTTAAAATTTCGTCGATTTAAATTAAATCCGAATCTAATCTATTTTTTATTTTAACTTGATTGTTCGATAATAATTTCATTTTGAGCTTAAAAAATTCTTACGTAACCTACACGTTAATTGAATTAATATTGTGAGAGGTTTTTTAATTTTCTTTTTTTTTATTTTCTTTTTCCTTTTTTTTTTTTTTTTACGTAAACTTTTCATAAATTATTCTATTTTTTTCAGTAGCGAATGAATTCGAATATTTAAACGGTTTTCAAAATCGTATTCTTTATAATCGTTTTGAGCTTTCATCAGTAATTGTTTTCCTTCTTCTTTCGTCTGAAAATAAAAATAATTTTATAAAAAAAAAAAAACAAAAACAAGTTTCCACGCAATTATTCGGTCAAGTTTTTTTTTTTTGTTTACAAACCTCCGTAGATTGTATCAAAATAGTTCCCAATTCAAACATGGCGAACGCAATTATATGATCGTTATTTTCTTTCGAATTATTATCGTTGTCCGATTTTATTTCTTTTCTTTTTTCTATGCATTTTTTAAAAGCATTCGATGCTTCATCGTAATTTGAAGCACAAAGATGAACAGCTCCTTCCACGAGATCACACAACCCGATCATGGGTTCATTTTTCATTGAATGACTCTCTTAAAAAAAAATTAATCAAAAATTTTTTGTCATTCTGAACATTAAAAAATAAAGAGAAAGAAAGGGGAAGAACAGGCCTACCTTCGACAATTCTGTACAATTCAGACGTGTCACAGGACGGTAGAGCATTCCAAAAATACAAAAGTTCAAGAATGAATAATTCACATGTTAATTTATCAAAAACTAATTCAATTTTTCCTTTATTTTTAACTTTCGAATCGGTAATCGGAAATTTTCTTATTCGCCTGCTTATAAATGTTTCAATTTGTACGCTTCCACTACTTTCCTCCACAAGTTTGGGTATTTCTTCAGCTAAAGTGAGTGCATTCTGCACATCATTGCAAGCTCCTAAGCAAATGACCGTCAAATACGTGTAAAAACTTCTTGACCATTTCGATCTACTTTTTAATTGATTAAAGCAATGATAAGCATTTCCCCAGTCTAATTGAATCAGGTAGCACCAGCCAATTTCGTGAAGGCAAAGAAGTTGAATTTCTCTCTGATTAGATTTTTCAATAGCAGATTCATAAGATTTCAAAGCTTGGGGTATGTCAGACTGAAATTTTAAGATCAATTGTACATGTTACAGGAATTCACTCGAGATCAAACATTTTTTGTTACACTTGATAATGATAATTACCTTAAGTCTTTGAACTCTTCCTTTAAAATATAAAAACAATGCAGAATCACCAAATTCAGCTTGACTCTCATTTATCAACTGATCTGCTTCTTCGACTCCAGCTTTTACATTAGCTCCATCTAGTGCAAAAAATGGTCTCACAATTGTGTGATACCATAAGAGAGCTAACCTGTAATTAAAACATAACCTATTTTATTTTTTTAAACTCTTAAATAATAATGTAAAAAACAAAAAAAAAAAAAAAGAGTATAATGGTACATACGAAGCTAAAGGGCCTCTCATATCAGTACCCTCTCTGCTAAACATTAAAGCTGATAGTCCAATTTTTCTATCTCCTTCAAACCCCAAGAAATGTATGAGCTTAAGTAAAGAAGCTGGCAGTAAAGAAATACATAATTGAAATATTCCATAACCAAAGGACACTGCAGCCATTAATCTTGCAACAACCTGAGGCTCGATTGTCACTCTTCAAAAGTATACATTTAACAAAGGTTAAATTAACATTTATTGATGGAAACGATATTTTAATTTACGCAAAAAGCAAAAACTTACTCGTTATTGGAGTGAGAAGAAAATGAATTTATGTAACTTAATGGATTTTTAAAACCATTAGAAGTACTTGGAGTATTTGGAACAGATAATTCATTTGAAGGTATAGAAGAATCAGTCATAATATGTGAGTCAGATGCACTTTTAGTAATTACTTGCCAAGAAGGAAAATGAGATCCTTAAAAGAGTAACGCATAAAGCATTAATATTATAAAATCGCAATTATAAACATTAAAAAAATAAATTTTTTTACTTTACCTGGTATGGAGGCATCCAAGCCAAAAGTTTTTTTATATAGGTTACATATTTCTGTATATGTATGCTGATAAACTTTCCAAGCTTTTCTCAACACCCAACCTCCTTTTACATAAGATGATAAATCTTGCTGAAGAAACGTTAACAAAGCAACACAAACCTGAGAATCAGCCAATATAATTTGTTCCTCTAATTTTTCAGCTGCATCTTGCTCCTGAATCAAATTAATTTGAATTATTTTCATTTAAAAAATTTGTATCAGTATATAATTGGAATAGAGTAATAAAAAGGGTTTAAATTTTAACAAATAATGTAAAATATTTTTAAACTTACAGTGTAATTGAAAGTGCTGAAAACCTTGTTCTTCATTGATTTCAACCATCCTGCACCTTGGGAACATTTTTTTTCAACATCTTTCAAATTTTGAAGAGATTCTTCCAATTTGTCTTCTTCAAAAGTCATTAATGCATTTATAAATGTCAAAAAGCAATAACCAGCAGCCATTTGAATGTTCCCATTATCCGAATTAAATAATTCTTCGGCTTCTTCAAATTTATTATTAAGAAGTAATTTAATACCCTCCCTGGCTAAGTCTGTTTTATCCGAACACTCTAACATTTTAATAAGCGGCTTTCACAATTTTCGAGTCAAAGGAAATTGATGAGGATGACACACATGGTTTTGAAATAGAGAAGGAGGAGTTTAAACGAGATACATTTTCGCACTGTTTTTGTTTTGGAATAAACATTTGAGCAGGCAAGCTTTGAGAAACACCACCACAACGTGAATTAAATTTTTTAGTAAAGCGTTGAAAGTAACAACCTAAACTGCTTAATATAAAAGCAATTAAAATACCCAAAAATACCATGTACAACCAAAAATGTAAAATAGTAAATTCCAAACTATAATGTGGATCCCAACCAAATATCGAAATTCCTCCTTTTCTCTTACATCTGAAACTGTATCGCAAGGTCTTGGGCCTACAGTCACACATCCTCATTATAACCAAACGAAAAAAAAAAAAAAAAACTTAGAATTCAGTCATTTTGAGGCCGAAAAAATTACTCCATAAACTGGTAGGAGTTAATCAATTACCGAATATGGTCATGAAAAATACAAAACAGTCCGAGGAAGGTAAATTTAAAAGGCGGTGGAATTCAAAAATTTACGACACCGTAAACAATCAAATTTTTTAAATATTTTTTCCCGCGTTTTATTTTTAACAAGCTCGATGAAACACTTTATTTAAAAATAAAAACGAAAAAATCCATAATTAATAATGTTTAAGTAAAAATCTTTCAAAATTCATAATTTCAAAGAATTCATTTTCGTGTTTTAATAAAAAAAAAAAAAAAATTATATTGAGCATGCTCTCTGATGGTATGTGGTAAGTGGAGTAAAGAAAATCGATCCAGAATCAGTTACGTTGCAATTTGTTCGTTACAACTTGATAAAATGTCCAGTGCGGGTATTGAACGAAGTGACAGATTAAAAATTGTTGATGAAGAACTTTTATCATTTTATCAATATTGCGAACAAGCTGGATTTTCTCAATCGGAAATGGAAGTTATTTGCGCTCCGCTGACTTCAGCTTTTCGCCAGAGAGCTGTTAAAAAAATAATCAAAATCGGATTATTCATAACAGGAATAATAATATTTATTTACGCAACATCCGAAGCGTACATGTATAAAAATCATTTTTACGCTCTTTCAAGGTTAGCCATGATAAAATTACTACCATTTTGGGATTGGACTTCAATGTTTTATAAATCCTGCTTGATATCGAATCCATTTTTCAAAAGCTATTCATTAGATATGAAAGATTGCATTTCGTGTGAATCGTTTGAAAAAATCGAACGAATATCCGAAGTTTCATTCAATAATTTGGTTGATGATTACATAAGCCGAGATTTACCGGTAATCGTTGAGGACGCCATGTTTTCTTGGCCGATAATGAACACGGATTATTTTTATTTTCAAAATATAACGGATGCTTATTTGAACAACGAAAAATTATACGACACGGTACCCTGCGTTTTAGTATCGAACATAAGAACCGGATCGAATGATTTATTACCATTTTTAAAAAGGATTAAAAATCCGAGAGCGGATAAATGGTTCGTACATTGGCAAAATTGCGACATAAATGCGGTTAAAGCACTTAGAAAATTTTATCAGCGTCCTTATTTTTTATCGACTTCGGTCGCTCCGGCTCATTTTAATTGGATATTGATGTCTTCTGACTATAAAACGAATTTGTATAAAAAACTAGAATTAGATTCCGGACTCATTATATTGGCACAACTTCGTGGATCGACTTCGTTCAAATTAATTCCTCATCATCCTTGTAATGAAACATGTCCGCAACTTATTGAAAACCTTAAAGAAGGTGAAATGTTAGTTTTTACAAATTTTTTATGGGCTTTCGAATATTTTCCTGGAAAACACATGGATAATATTGCTATACTCACGGAAACTATTTGGGAAGATACATTAATAGTTTAAATATATTTACCTGTTTGAAATTTTTTATGTCACGTGATAATTATTTTAAAAATTTATTACAACAATTTAAATAAATAAAAAATTATTCTAAATCATCACAAAATATTTTTGCAATTATACATTGAATTTGTATGCTAAAAAAAAAAAAGAAAAATTGCTTACTTAACTCTTTTATCTGTAATTATTTATTCAAATTATAATAAAACAATATTTAAAAAAATATTAATTATAATGATCATTGTAATTATTTCTCATATTCATTTATTATAATACTATTTATTGTGATTATATCATATATTAAATACTCTATAATATTTTTCAGTATAATCATTATTTTCCATTTAAAAAAAAAACGCAAGGAATTTTATTTTTTCGAAAAATCACATAAATTATTAATTTCCATTAATATTTTGTTTCCTTTTAAAATATTTTTTTTATAATAAAATAAATTATTTTGAATTAATAATGTAAATTGAAAAATTTATTACAATAAGTAATTTTATAAAAAAAAAAAAAATATTTTCGACCAATAAAAAACATTTTAAATAAATTAAATTTTTTTCATCATCTAATGTGTTGTATGATAATTTAAGTAATAGTAAAGAAAAGTTTTTCAACTAATATTTATTATATATTAATTAATTTATAAAATTCAATTTTCATTATAAGATTTATATATTTTAATAATATTTTTGATACACATAAACCTCATAAAGCAAAAAAAAAATTATTGTTAATGTTTAAAACTTATTCCATTATAAATATTACGTTTATTTTAAATCTTGTAAACTTTTTAACATTTTTTATTTATTTATTTATTTATTTTACATTGATATAATTTTTTTTTTCAATTATTTTTAATATAAATAAATAATAATATCAATAATTATAAATTGATTTTAAATATGTTTTTAATAACTTTTCAAAAAAGTAAAAAAAAAATTCATTTAAAAATTTGATATGAAGAAGAGTATTTGTCAAATAATGGCATGACATGTCACACGTTTTTTTAAAAAAATACTTAATTATGTAATTATAAATAATTATTATTGACAAAATACAATAAAAATGGCAAGATTTTAACTAAAAAAAAAAAAATTATTTTAAAAACTAATCCTTTTAATATTATTTATTATATTATATTATAAAATTACTAATAAATAAAATTTAATTAAAGCTTTTATCAAAATATTTTTTTTTAAAAAAATTTTAAAGCCATATTATTCCTCCTAAATATATTATTCGAAAAACTTTAAGTTAATTTTTTTTTTTTTTTAATTTTACTAATTTAAAAAAAATTTAAGCTAAATAAATTCTATGCCCTCAAATTTAATATCACCTATTTTAGTTTCTGGCATTAGAATTTTACCATTTATTTTAAATGCCATAGCATAACTAGACACTGAACCTTTTAATTCTTCCGACTTTATTGCTATTATAACCTCATCTTCGCTACCAGGTATAAATTTAAAACTAGAAAACCCGTGAGATGGATAAACATCTCCTATTTTTAATACTTTTATATTTTTAAAATTTTCATCACATGTAATTAATAAATTGGTACCCATTAATTCATCTGTTTCTTCCCTATAAACTTCTTTAGAACATCTCCTAGGCAAAAAAAACCATTTTTTATGTATGTCGCTCCATACACCTGATTCGTGAATCATATATCCTGGATATGATATGCCTACAGCTTTTAAAAGAGCTAAATAATTTTCCCTCCAGTTTTTATGAGTAACTTCACCATTAACTGTAACTTTTTTTATCCATTGAGGATTGTAATTAAGCACCTTTCCAGCAGAATTTGTCCACTCTTTACCAAATCCACCAACGATTAAAGTTTGATCTTTTACACTAGCCCACTCGGATTTAAAAGTTTTCCTCGTTTTACCATCACCATCTGGCAATATAACCCAAGGAACTACATCATTTTTAATAATTTCATATACAACACCTGTTCTGTCATCCAATGTGTATAGTTTTCCATTAAAAACAAGTAGTTCTGACAACTCCATACCTCTTCCTCCTTGACTTAAAGATGATTTTAACTGTACTGTCGATTTATCCCATGTAACATAAACAGAATTTAAAGATGGATTCCATTCAAGGTAACCTTTTTGTAAATATGAGAACCATACATCTGGTTCTAATTTTGATTTAGAATCAATATCTAAATCACTGATCATTGCTATTCTGAACGTTAATCCCTTTGCCGTTCTAATTGGACGCGTTAAAGGATATGTATTATTATACTGTTTGTAAGAAAACTCTTTGTACACAGAATTATATCCAACTTGCATACTTGGTTTAGGTAGTGTAAAAGAATTATAATTAATGTACTTATCATTAGGACTAGGTTTTGGCAACATAATGTACCTGATAAATAATATAATTAAACAAAATATCACAAAAAATGTAATAAACTTTGTCTGAATTCTCACATTTCTTTTACCGATCCGGTAACTGGGCGGTGATTCGAGGGCTTCCCTCCAGTCTCTTAGTGTCATTTTCATGTTATCATTTCTTAAAGGCTCATATGGCATGCCTTTTAAATATAAAGTTAATTTCCTTAAGTTAAATTATAAAAATACCATGATGACACTATTTGAAATAACGTTTGTCAAGTTTGAACACCTCCATGTTTATATTTAAACGTAAGAATATTTATACGTGGCACTACATTTAATAATCTTATGCCACGTACTTGATTCCCTTGGCGGAAGTTGTGAAATAAAACAAAAAAATTAAATAATTTTTTGATTTTCATTTCTAAAAAAAGATATTATAAAAAATAAAAATTATTATAAATGTTAATTATCATTTAAAAATATCATTACTTCAAATATGATTTTAAAATAATACTTGAAATTTAAGTTTGAAAATTAATTTTCAAAAATTCAAATTTAAACTTTGTTTTAAAAAGTTATGATGTAACCGTTAAAACCGTTTAAAAAAGTTGTAAAACATCCGCAAATTTAAAAACATAAAAATTAATTTAAATAACTCACACGAATGTACTTGTTATAAAAAAGAAAATAACTTTAACAAAGTATTTTTATGAATAAAATATTTTAAAATATCACCACAATGTCTACTATTAAGTTCAACCAATTAAAAAAAAATTTTACTTTTGTATCGTAATAAAATTAAAATTAAGGATAAATTTTTTTAAATATTTATAAATACAATCCAATAATTTTAACTTTCATAAATTCCCTTGGCGTTTTTAAAAAGAACACTGTAAAACACTAATGTTTTAATAAAAAAAAGGTGACAAAATTTATACAAATCATTAAAGAAAAAAATAAAAAAATATTAATAAGTATGTGTAAAAAAAAAACTTAAAATTTTTATTTTTTATCCTTGTAAATTTTTTTTAACCTTATAAAATTATCCCTATAAAATAAAATTAAAAAAATTATCGGTTATAAAAATTTTATTTTTACGTTTAAATGTTTAATGCATTTAAAATCCCATAATAATATTTTATAAAAGTTGAAAAAATTATTCTATAACGCCTAAAGGCACCTAT